TGCAAGAGGTAGAAAGACACTTTTTGGACCAATGAATTGATCTTCTTGTTGCCACAGAGGGTTTCATCATTCAGTCTTTTTAATCTAAACTTCCCAAAAGCTGATTGTGGTTGTGCATGCAGAAAGGATTTTGCAACAGACCATGCCTTCCTTGGATTTCCACTGAGGTGTCTTCATAGATGGAAGAAAGAACATACATATCCCACTCCTTCCATTTAAGGGTCAACATTTCTTCATTCCATCAACTTACTGACTCTCCCCTTTTTTAGCTTTGTGGTCAACAGTCTTCATGGAAATCCCTTTTGATTTGCTTGGACTGGACTGTAAGCTACACTTTGCTGCAGATAAGGGGTCAGAAAAGTGTCAGGCTTGTATAAAAACTGTCCCTATAGAGGTGATATCCCTGGATGGAATAGGGATGACATAAGGTCACACACAATGTTTCCACTGTTACCCATGAGTTGGACATCCAGTGGGTTCCAGATGGCTGCCCTTCCCTTCATTAACCTGGAAGTCTTATGTGTACCCGTTGATGCTCTTACAAAGTTTATATGATTTGCCCTGTATACAGCATGTTTCTTTGGGATATATTATTTGATGCTCAGACTACCTGTAAATGGGCAAGATACTCATCAATGCAGATATGTTTGTCAGGAGTATAAATTTCAAAAATTGTAAAATGGTAAGTGGCCTAATAGTATAAAGTTTATCGTATTGGGTTGACATCAGGGAAGGCACAGGGAATTCTATTGAAAATGCAAAAATCCCATAATATTTTTATAGCATGTCCTGGTCATCATTGAGGAATACAGTGACATATGGTGAATAGGGTGTGTGGACCAATAGGACTGCAGTTTATTTTTTGTGAGTCCCATATTTACTGTAAAACCAAGAAGTAGTTTAAATTCTTCAACTGTGACAGGCTTACACTCAAATGGATGGGCAATGTACTGGGAATATTTGTGATGTACTGCTGGGCATACAGATTGAATTTGTCCACAATTGAATTCAAAATATATTCTGAAAAAGAAATAAAACAACAAAATGGACATAACATTTTCAGTTTCCGCCTGAATGATTGGTTGCACTGTAAATGGGAAGGGGATGGGGGGTGACAGATGCTGCTGAATTAGAAGAACAGGACATAAAGGATTTGAAAGTGCCTCTAGGACACTACTATGAGCCTTAATCCATCGTGTCTGATGGGACACCCTGTTACTTGTATTTGGTCTTTTGTCTGAGTGTAGTGTGCTGCTGGTGCTTGCCACTTCACATGGATGTATTGCACTGCTGATGGTTGCCTGTTGCTGTTCAGAACACCTGATTATTTTTGTTGGAACTCTTTTTTCCTTTGAATTGCTTACTGAACCACTTCTCTCCATGGGTTCATGTTCAGAATCCAAATCTGACAGTGAGACATCCCTAATCTGTCATGCTCAAAATCGGAAAGGCCTCCTTGCTTGTGCACATTTTTTTGAACATGGAATTCAGATTCTGGTGACACTTTACTGGTGTGGCGTTGATCAAAACACTGTTGCTGATTTGCTGACACTGTCATTGCTAGCGCTCAGAATAGTTTTGCTGGCTTCATTTATTCTAGCACTGGTGGGGTGGTGATCAAGACACTGGTGCTGGTGTATACCGGTCTGGCAGTGATCAGAACACTGGTTGCGGTGTATACTGGTCTGGCGTCAATGCAATCAGGCACACTGGCTCTGTTGACTCTGGCACTGGTGTGGTGGTAATCAAGACACTAATGCTGGTGTATACTAACCTGGCATCACTCCAATGAGGGACACTTGCTCTGCTGACACTGGCACTAGTGGGGCAGTGACCAGGACACTGGGGCTGACATATACTGGTCTGGAAACACTGTAACTAGGGATATTTGTTGGTAGTACTGGTCTGATGACACTGAATGGTGTCATTAGCAATAAGGTACAGTGTTCCAGGCAGCACTGGTGGTGTCACTGTGTTTTGTGTGTGAAAAACTGTGACAGGCTGATAATACTCACAGCACCAATGTAACTGCTCTCTTTCCTCTCACAGATGATCTCTGTGTGAGGTGAGACAACCTATAGCTGCACCATGCCACATTGTTTACATTTTGTGATTGCTGTGATTGGACAGGGTAATCACATGTATAGGACCAATTTCAATGAGGACTAATTTCATTGGCCCTGTACCATGTCATGTGATCTGCTATGTCCTGGGGAAACAGCAATAACCTGGCTCACCGGTGCACACTCTAGGAGACACACACAAGCTGCTGATGGGAAGGAAGTATGGGTATGTCTACTCACATCGGCAAAGCTCTGTGTGTGGGCTGGACAGGAGTTGGTTAATAACATTCAAATACAATATGGCTAGTGTAGCAATTGTATATGCTATATCTTTTTTTATTTGCAAATTTTTTTCCCACGAAGGTGGAGTTAACCTTTAAATCTAAACTGATGAGCTATAAAGGTTTTTAAAGAGTAGCCTATGGACAAATCTAAATACTGTAATTTATCTTCATTTTCCTTGAGGGCAAACAATTTTGATGCCTGGGGATTTGTTTGTGTTTGTGTGCACTAAAAAAATGAAGTACATTTTTTTTGATGAAATTATAGATTTCACAAACATAATAGATGACATACAAAATTGCATTTGCCACTATTTTATTCTATAGAGTCTCTGTATTCAGAACATTTAACATTCTTGAGTTTTAGGTCCATCTACAGTATAAGTACAAAATGTTCCGTGTGTGTGTGTGTGTAAGATGAAAAAAGGTATAGGCCCTTAAAAGGTTAAAGTGTATATAAAAAAAAATGTAATTAAAAATCTGAATAGAGTAGGTAAAGGCCAAGTTTCTATTGCTGTTTACGCCCCTGCTGGAGAATATCATCTTTCTTTCACTGACACAGAAAGTGAGAGGAAATCTAGAAATTTTGAGTTGTCATCACAGCAAGAAATAAAGAAAAAACCCTTCATTGTGGACACCTGTTCAAATAACAGCTCACTAAGATAAGAATTATCTTAACCTTTGAGAGATTTCCTCTTATTTCCTTTTGTTTCTCCAGGGCAGAAAGTGAAGAGAAATCTCCCTAGCAAAAAATAATTTGATAAGGGTTTTAACTGTTCCATACTCTATGTAAAACAAAAGAAATATTTGCTTTACATATACTTCAATGGGTACGTTCATCTTTTTAGAAAAAAATGAATGCACATGTTTTTGCATTGAAAAATGTGCATTTATTATTTTTCATGCAGGAGCCAGGAAAGCATTGCACCCTTGATCAGCGGATTAGGGATGCAATGTCAGGCACCTGCAGGCATGTCCTTCAGCTTTAAGCCTGTACTTCTATATGAACTGTCAGTTTGAAAACTGCAAGGCTTGTGAATGAACTACGAGAGTGCTCATCAGCGCCCTTGCAGTTCCTTTAAAACTACAAGCTGTTTGCCATGGTGGATAATGATAGTTGTAGATCATTGATTGACAGGAATCCATGAATAAATGACATTGTCGTGTGCGAGGAGCCTTGACATGGGCACTGTGACTTCCACATATATTTGAAAATGTGTGCAACAAAACCTTTTGTTTTAACATGAATTGTTAGACAGGGTCAATTTGATTTGTTTACAGGCTAACTGGTAAGTGTGCTGGGAAATTTTAGTTGTGATGTTAATGTATGACGTGGCCGTGTGGTGGAATCCCACATGGCCACACTGTTTTTGAATTGCGACAGTGGGTGTGGGAAAAAGAACCGCTGCCGTCTGGCATACTGGGGGGCCGAGGGGAATCAGGGACAAATGCAGCAAGGACTGGAAATGTTACTTGTTCCAACCTAAATACAGGTGAAACCATCTTTCAAAAGGTGAACTTATCCTTTAATTATTTCCCACTCATTTTAACCCCTTGGTATTGGTGCCTCCCAGCCCTTTAAGGGGTTTCAGATGTCAGGAGGCGGGTGGAGTTTATGATCATTTGACCACCATGACTGGCTGTCACAGTGGTCGCATGATCGGAAAGCTCCTGATCGTAAGTAGTGATCAGGAGTTTTCCATTAGCCGCTGGTGACTGTACCAGGAGCACGCTGGGTGCGCATTCTAGGCACGGCTCTGTTTCGATTTTGGTATGCATATATGCGGCATCTCAGCGTTAAGGCCCACCCGCCAAGAGGCCACATATATGTGTACTGTCAGCTCCAAGGAGTTATCATGCAGTAGGAGAGAGATTTCATTAGCCATAAAACCCTAGGTTTACTATTTTATTCACATATGGCACACATGCATATGCACTAAACACATGTTTTCTAAGCCAAGAATCACATTTTTGAATAAATCTTATTTGATGCTTAGAGATATACAGGTGTTGATTATCATATTAGGAGCACATTGGTTTCAGCATGGTTACTACCAACAAGCAGTTAACACTTTTAGTTAAAACATGTAATTGCAAGTGTAGCCCTAGATTTAATTATAGCTTAAAGTTGGAATGTAAAAGATGAAAAAGCAAACAGAGATGGAACTGTTCCATTTTTTGAAGATAATGGAGAAGTTAAATAAAATAAACAAACTTATTTTATCTCTAATTATATTCATAATTGTAGGTGGTATGTGACTATATATATATATATATATATATATATATATATATATAATATATATATATATATAATTTATATTTTTTAGAGTTATGTGCTAGTAAACGGTCAACACATTTGGTCCAGTAGAACCTGCACAGATGTATAAACACAGTGCATGCCAACATGTTCTTTTTGTATGTAAAAAACATGACGTAATATTATATCATGGATTCATGGAATTCAGTGATCTGTATTCCTTTCCAAGAATAGCTAGCGTAAGAACAATTGCAAACAATACTTTCGTTAATTAAGTTTTCCTTGTAATACAGATTGTTGACTACAGTAAGCTGTTATCTCAGTATAATACATACATATATTATGTACTGTATTTAAAAATGCATGAGAATTAATTAGTTTTATTTTTTTTTTCAGGTATACGCTGTATTTAACTATCACAACATTCTTCTTTCCTTTACCACTAATAGTGGCTTGCTACATTTTAATTCTGTGTTACACATGGGAGATGTACCATCAGAATAAAACTGCTGGATGGTAAGAAAAATATATGTCTGTTTACTAGTCAGAAAAAATACCCCTTGAAAGGTATACTGTATATTAAATTTTAGTCTTATAGTATGACACTTGTGATAACTCTGGCCCTAATGTATCACGTTTGTATCATATGTATCAAAAGATGAATTGTCTGTGTTGCTTAAAGAAACCATTGCACCAAATTAAAAACAATCAGGTAAAAGCTCATAGGAATCAAATATCTTAAATCCTGTAAATGTGAACACTTCAGGAGGAGTCAGTTCCCTGGCACAACGCTATCCCTCTTTGCACATTATAGCTCTCTCCCTTTGTTAAAATATCTAATTTCTGTATGTAGTATGGTACCCCCCCCCCCCCCCCCCCCCCCTTCCCTACATAATGTTTTATGTAACAAAGCAAAGTATTACAGAATGTGACCTGAATGCTGCTGATATCAAATTGGAGATGGTGGCACCCAGCAGCAGTATCTGGACAAGGGAGACTTTTACAGATAAATAACATGTGCAAAATACTTTAAGTTCACATACATATATTCTTATGGGAAGATTGTTGTTGAAATTATTGGTCTGGCAACAGGGTCTTTTTAAAGAGACCTCTTTCCAGGGCATTAAATAAGGGATTGGTTTCTATGGGTATTAGAAACTGTACATCATTCACACACTTTAAAGGCTTAGTTCATCTTTTGTAGCAGAATTTAGGATTTCATATTGTAACTAAGCCTTTGATATGCACTTTTGTGCCCCACGCCAATTCTATTTAGCTCTCATTCCCTACACCCCCCCCCCCTCCTTTCTTGACCACTGTGAATCTGCCTCTTCTCTGGTGTGAATTTAAAAAAATGTGAATAACTACATTTCCCAAAAATGCTAATTGTCCTGCATTGGGACAGAGGGACTGGAAGGGTTGGGCAAAGGAGGTGGGTGGGTATGATAGATGACGCAAATTCAATTGCACTGAGAAGGAGGGAGATAGTGGTGGGTGAGATAGGTGGGTGGAAGTGGTTGGTAACATGATATCAGAAATATAAAGCAGAAATATTTGAGCGCTGGGTGAGTAGTATAAATAGCTGCTGGCATATAAAGGTAAACCTCAAGGACCCACAAATCAAAATAGTAAGTATAAAAAATATATATGCAGCGCTGGTATAACTATAACAAGCAATCATCTATACCAAAGTCTTAGATATCATAAAAGGTGCTGAATCCCAATGAAGTGGGATGTGTAAAGTGACAAGTGTAATAAAGTCAGTTAATGTAAGGGAATTCCCGTGAGATGGCTGGCGAACAGACGCGCGCATGTGCACAGAAATGCACGATTACGCACACGCACGTGCACACGCACGTGCACACGCACGATGAAGTTTGGCGCCAGACGGACTATTTAAAAGGTGCCTTCCTTTGCCTGTGCTGAGAGCTGACTGGTCTTCAGCTCCCCCGTGTCCTGCTTGTTCCTGTGTGATTCCCTTGTTGCTGACCCGGCTTGTTCCTGACCTGACTCTGATTAATCTCCTGATTGATACTGGTTCCTGACTTCGGCTCTGCTCCTGACTTCGGCTTTGCTTCTGATTCTGTGGGTTGCTGTCTGCCTGTTGATGACCCTGGCTATTCCTATGACACTGCTCCTGTCTCTTCCTCTCGCTTCTTGCCTTGCTCTGGTGCGCACCTGGCGATCTACAAAACCAGCTCTGCATGTTACCACTGTGCCTGAATCAGAGGATCATCAGTCTTCCAAAGTCATCATCTACAAGAGCTGCAAACAACTGCTGGCGCCCTTGTTCCCCTGGGTCCTAGACTCCCTCTGTTCCAACTCCAGTGGGGTCAGGGCTAGTGACACAAGTGAGGCCAACCTCGTCATTTCAGTCTCCCATCAAGTACGTGACAGTACCAGTCAGCCAATGATGGAGTCTGAAAGGGAGGCCTCTGCAATGGGGGACATCTGTCAATCAGTCTCTGCCTTATCTTACTTGGTGCAAAGTAACCTTGAGCACCTGGAGAGTCAACTACCACCCTAGTCTAATGCCTCCACAGCCACAGGGCCCTCTGCAGTCTCAGATATAAGTACTCAGACAGAGCTCAGTATGATTCTTGGAACTTCTCCGTACTGGCACCCCAGGTGCCAACACCTGAGTTTTTCACAGGAGACCGCAGGAAGTTCCGAACCTTTCGCAACTCCTGCAAGCTATATTTTTTTCTGCTTCCAAGAACCTTTGCATCACAAAGCACCAAAGTGGGATTCATTATCTCACTCCTTAAGAATGAACCGCAATCCTGAGCACACCACCTTCGTGAGCAACATGACTCGGCTCTAACTTCGATGGACTCGTTTTTTCTCAGCAATGTCACAGCTGTATGCTGATCCCTTCCTTTGTCAGACTGCTGAATCTATGCTTAGAACTACAGCAGGGCCAAAGGCCTATAGAGGAATATGTTACCGAGTTCCGTATATGGCGTTCCGACACTCAATGGAATGAGTCTGCTCTCCGCTATCAGTTCCTCCTTGGCCTTTCTAACACCCTGAAAGATGAGCTTGTTCGAGTGGGGGTACCAACCAGGCTAGAAGACCTGATAGACCTTGCTATCCACATCGACTGTAGGATCCGGGAGAGACAGGATGAGAAGTCTAACGGGGAGATCTTGATATGTTCAGAGGTGGAGACCCCTGTTTCCTCTACTACTGCTGTCCTATCAGACCTACTTCCCAATAATAGAAGGTATCATAATTCCCCTAGAAGGAGTTTCTGGAGACCACCGTTGTCCTCTGCTGAACGTCTTCGACGACAAGAGTCCAATCTCTGTCTCTACTGTAGTTATGCAGGTCACTATGTACTGACATGTCCAGTAAGACCTCATAGGTCTTCTCCTAGCTGGTTCCATATGATGCACCCCCAACGAGCAAGCCGAACGCACCTCTCCTTCCACCTTCACTTACAGCTGGCTGAAAGGAACCAGGTACAGCAACTCCTCTGCTTAGTATTCAACCTGAGACAATGAAACTCATTCCTGTTGCTTACCATGATTACCTGGATGTATTTAACAAGAAGAGTGCCAATGCTCTTCCGCCACACCGCTCTTATGATTGTCCTATTGAGCTATTGCCCGGTGCCGAAATTCCTTTTGGGCAAATTTCCCCCTATCCGAATTAGAATAAGAGGTCCTCCGGAGTTATATTAATGAGAGCTTGGAAAAAGGGTTTATTCGGCCCTCTACATGACCAGCGGGAGCTGGCATTTTCTTTGTCGAGAAGAAGGATCATACCCTCCGACCTTGTGTTGACTATCGTGATTTGAATAAAATAACTGTCAAGAATCGCTATCCTCTTCCTCTAATTCCTGAATTATTCCAAAGGCTATGAGGGGCATGTGTCTTTTCAAAACTGGATCTGAGGTGCGCTTACAATTTAGTTAGAATTTGCAAAAGGGATGAATGGAAGACGGACTTTCGAACACGCTTTGGGCATTTTGAATACGTGGTGATGCCATTTGGTCTCTGTAATGCCCCAGCAACATTCCAACACTTTGTGAATGATATATTTCGGGACTTTCTTGATCTGTTTATTATCGTTTACTTGGATGACATCCTAGTCTTTTCCAGCTCAATGGAACAACTCCGGGATCATGTAAAGAAAATTCTGGAGAGATTACGCCAACATCACCTCTACGCCAAAGCTGAGAAATGTGAGTTCAAGAAACAGACTATTCAGTTCCTTGGACTTGTGATCACTCCCGATGGCATTGCTATGGATCCCCAAAAGGTGACCTCCGTGCTAGAATGGCCCGTTCCAAAGGACAGGAAAGCAGTGCAAAGTATTGTGGGCTTCGCAAACTTTTACAGAAAGTTTATTAAGAACTTTTCAGGGATCATTGCACCAGTGACACAGCTAACCAGGCAACACGTTAATTTCAGGTGGACTCCTGAGGCTCAAGTCACCTTTGAACAATTAAAGACTTTGTTCACCTCTGCACCTGAAGCACCCAGATCCTGCTTTAGCTTTGTCCTAGAAGTAGACGCTTCTGAAAATGCTGTGGGGGCTATATTGTCACAATGACAGGGACTCAAATCCCTTCTGCACCCCGTTGCTTTCTTCTCTAGGAAGCTAAATGCCTCTGAAAGGAATTATGATGTAGGAGACAGAGAGCTATTGGCCATCAAGGCAGCACTTGAGGAATGGCGCTACTTACTGGAGGGAGCTTCCCATCCTATCCTCATTTTCACGGATCATAAGAATCTAGAATACTTGAGAACAGCAAAACGTCTAAGACCACAACAGGCAAGATGGGCACTGTTCTCCACCCGCTTTGTCTTTCATGCAACATACCGTCCAGGATCAAAGAACAGTAAGCCAGATGCTCTCTCACGTATTTTTCACGATCCAATTATACCATCTGAACCTGACACGATTCTGCCAGCTAAGAATTTCTTACTTTTGCAAACTGACCTTGTAGCACAAATAAGAGAAGTGGTGGATGATCATCCACCCCCCTTAGAGATGCATCTTCAGCTAAGAGACGGTCTGTATCTTCACAGGGAACAAATCTTTGTACCGGAATAACTCAGGACTCTCATCCTCAAAAGATGTCATGATCACCCTTTAGCGGGTCACTTTGGGATCCGCAAGACCTCAGATTTGGTCTCCCGTTCCTTCTGGTGGCGAAACTCGATGAAAGACTGCCAGAACTATGTTAGATCTTGCTCCGTATGTCTTCGAAACAAATCTGATAAAGCCAAGACCTGGGGTCTGTTGGAATCTCTGCCAGTACCTGAAAAACCATGGAATATGATTTCTGTGGATTGTATTGTTGAGCTCCCCCCGTCTGAGGGATTCACCACTATTTTTGTAGTGGTTGACCGCCTATCAAAGATGGCCCATTTCATTCCCTTGAAAGGGACTCCTTCTGCCGCTGAAACTGCTTCTGCCTTCATCAGAGAGATAGTAAGATTACATGGCGTTCCTAACAACATCATCTCCGATCGAGGAGTACAGTTTACATCTAAATTCTGGAA